TGCAAGTGGAGGGCTATTGGGGTCCTGGCATTTCCCCGTCTTCACCATCCGTCTTGGGCTCTTGGCGCCGGGTTTGCGGGCTCAGCCCTCCCGGCCCCCGGGGTGCCGGATTGGGAGCCTGGCGGGGGGCACCTGGAGACCCGAGTCCCCGGCTGATCCGGTCTTTCCGGACAGGGTGATTTTCGTTTAAAGATTAATGGCGAGACCGAGCTCTTAATTATTCTGCGAGGTGGGAGGTGGCGGGAGAGGCGTGTTAATATTTGATAAGGAGCTAAAGGCGATTCCAGCCGCTGGCAGCTTCCCTGCTGCCCCAGACCCCATCCGCTAGCTCCCAGCCAAGCCAGGCCAACAGTGGCTCTTGGGGTCCCTTCCAGCCAAACTTTTGCTCCAGGCTCAGATGCTTCGCCGTCAGAAAGGTAGAGTGAGCGATAAGCGTTCCCCGAGGGGTTGCTGGTCTCTTATGATGGGGGTTCAGGAGAGCCTTGTAGTAAATCCCATCCCAGATGAGAAGAAATTCAAAACAAAACCAAACCCAGCCCGGTGTCATTGGGCACCCCTATAATCCCAGCTACTCAGGAGGCCGACATCTAAGAATCCTGATTTGCCAAACTTTTATCTTGGGGGTCGGAGGGAGGGAGGGAAAGGGGCGGAGGGAGGGAGGAGGGCTGTAAGTGGAGATGTGGCTCAAGTGGTAATGCCCTAGCCTCTGAACAAAACAGAGCAGAAGCACAAAGGAGCACAGTTCAAGCCCTGGTATCGGTACATACATCATCAAAACCCCCAATCCCTTGTAGGGTTGGATATTTGAAAACAAATGCTTTGCAGTTAATCTGGGTGCCAGATGGCCTTGGATAAGTCACTTGCCCTGTTTCTCACTTACAAAACCCGGCGTAAGTAATTCCTTAACAACACTAGGTGTTGTTTTAAAGATTTGAGTAAGATAATGGGTTAAGTGTTTAGTGCTATGCTAGGTTGTAGTACATGATAGTCTCTACCCTGGCTTGGAGCCAGGTGAGCCTGGAGTGATCCCCGCTAATCACACACACACACACACACACACACACACACACACACACACACACACACACCCCTCCTTTTTTTAAGACTTGGAGCTTTCTAATTGGGGCTCACCATAAGGGTTGAGCATGTGCAGGTTCCACGTGGGAAGAAATCCCTAGAGCATCTTCTCTAGGGGAGAGAGAAGGTATTTGGCCCCTTCAGAGCTCCAGACCCCTGGCCAGGAGGTGCTGAGACTTTGCCCAGGACACACTTGGGTTTTGCTGAGTTGGTTTTCAAGATAATCACCCCCCCACCCCCATCTGAGTGAGAGGGTGGGGTGAGCAAGGTCCATTAGCCAGAGCTGCTGTGGTCATCTCTAAACAGATGGGGGGGGGGGGAGTGAAGGTGATTGGCAGCTCCACTTCTGGTCAGAGCACATGAACAAAGTAACCAAGACATGTCTTTCCCAGGCCCTCTTAGAAGTGATCTAAGACAGTGGGCTAGTACTTGTTTGCGAGGGTGGCCCTCTGGGAGACTGGCACCCCTAATCCCCTCCTTGACTGAGAGCCAGTTACCCTCACTCTATGACATTGTCCTGGCCTTGGCCTCATCACCAATGTGTTGTCCTGGCTTCTGTGTCCTGGCTCCTGGAGAAGGTAGTTTACACAAGTGTTCAGCCAAGCAGGTCGAAAGTCTCAATGATTAAGACAGTGGATCAGAGGTCACCACTACAAACCAAGATGTAGCCAGAGCCAGGGAAAAGCAAATTCCTAAGGCCTGGACCAGATGGGACTCCGGGGGATTGTGAGGAGCTCCACCCTTCAGAGCTAGCTTTGGATGACTCTGGGCTAAATGGGGATTTCTCCCAGAATAGGCATTTGGAGCCTGGAAGTATAGGGAAGCAGCCTGACTCTCCCAAAGAGGCACTGTCTGCCTCTGGGACCTCAGGGCTGGGCACACAGGAGGATCATAAAAAGGAGCTGCTCATTACAAATGACCACCAATTCTTCATCTATTGGAATGAGGAAGAAGGGCTCCTGGGCTCAGAAAACTGAATTCCGTCTCTGAAGAAATGAAGCAAGAAGCCAAGCAGGAAGCCAAGGGAACAGAGTACAGCTTCTGAGCTCTGCTCTCCTAGGGGAAAAGCCTGCATGTGCAGGTCCACTGCTTTATGTGAGGGGTACCCCACACTGCAGCTTTGGGGGGTATAGATCATCACTTCACGGGGAAGACCTTGTATCTCTGAAAAAGGGTATGCCGGGGAGCAGCGGGCACACTGGTCCAGAGCCTAGAAAACTCAAAAATCCAAAGTAGTTCTTGGGGGGCCAAGAGAAGGGATCAACCTTCTATAGATACTTGCTCTCCTAACCTAGAACTTTCCCTAAAACCATTACCAAGAGCCTGGCCTTCTTTGGCACCCTGCTCTCCCTGTCCCTATTCCAGGGAGCACTTCTATGCCCAGACCCAGGCAAGGAGAGAGGGTATTGGGTGTGGTGGTACAGTCCTGTAATCCTGGTGCTCAGGGACTGGACACAGAAGAATCTAGAGGCTGAGGCTACTGTAGGCTCCACAGTAAGACCTTGTCTTCAAAAAAAACAAACCCAAGAGCTGAGGATATATAATGTTTGTTTGGTATGTCTCAAGGCCTGGGTTTGGTCCCAGCATTGCAAAAAAGGGGGAAAAAAACCAGGATGAGAGAGAGATTGCCGAGCTGAGTGTAGTCTTTTCTTAGGAATTTCCTCATCTCTGAATTCTTTCCAACTTACTCCATGTCTTTCCTCTCCCGTCCCTCCCCCACTTAGCTCTGGCCATCTGCTCACTGAGAGGAGGCCATCAGAGGGAGGGAAGCCGGGGGAAGGGACCGTACTAGGCACCAGGCTGCCTGAAACTCTATACCATCTCTGTTAATCTTCTCCATGGCATGATGGGTAGTTTATCAGTGGAATTTTGCAGATGATAAAACTAAGGCTCACAGAGATTAAGGGACTTGCCCCTAAACCTATAGTTCCCTAAATGGCTCAGCCAGAATTCTAGGTTTGGGTGAAATGCTTTGTTCACACTGTTTGCACAAGCCTTCTTTCCTCCCATCAATTAATAGATTATTTTTAGAACAGTTTTAGGTTTGCAGAGAAGTATCCGAGGGTACCCACAGGCCCCTGCATTTCCTTTTTGTCCGCAGCTGTACCACAGCTTGGTATACTGAGAGATACTCTGACCTCAGACAGAGCCATAAGGGGAGACATTCAGGAGCAGTCAGACTTATCTTCCCTCTACCTCCATCAGTCCCCAAAAGCAGTCATGCTGAACTTGTTCCCTTGTTCTCTCCCCTCACCAGAGCCTCCTCCTTCCAAGTTTAGGGGAGAGATGCAAAAGCAGAAACGAGAGCCAGGCACCATGCCTGTAATCCTAGCTATTCAGGGGGCTGAGATCTGAGGAGCCCAATTTGAAGCCAGTTCAGGCAGCGAAGTTCATGAGACTCTTTAGTTAACCACCAAAATGCTGGATGTGAAGCTATGGCTCAAGTGTCAGAATGCCAGCCTTGAGTGTATAAAGCTAAGGGACAGGGCCTAGGCCCTGAGTCCAAGCCTCAGTACTGGCACACACACACACACACAGAAGAAAGAAAAGAAAAAAGAAAGAAAAAGAAAGGAAGGAAGGAAGAAAGGAAGGAAGGAAGAAAGGAAGGAAGGAAGGAAGAAAGAAAGGAAGGAAGAAAGAAAGAAAGAGAAAAAAACTAAATGTGTATAGGGAGGGTTGTTGACCAAGGTATGGCGCATGCTCAGGCCAGCCCAGGAGGAGAGCTGACCAGCTTCAGAGGAACCACTGAAAGGGGTACCCAAAGGTAAGATGAGCCGGATGGTGGGTTCATGGGTAGGTTAGGACTTTTTTTTTTTTTTTCAGTGCTGGGGATTGAATGTAGAGACTTATCTAGGCTAAGCAAGGTCTTTACCACTGAGCTACCTACCCTAGCCCTTCCAGTAATTTTTTTTTAACTGTAGACAGGTTCTCAGTATGTATATGAAGACAGACCAGACTGGCCTTAAACTTGAAATCCATCTGTTTCCATTTCCCAGAGTTTTGGGATTTCAGATGTGAGCTGCCACCATTCCCAGCTCCCTAAGCTTCTGCTGCTACTTTCCTCCTCCTCCTCCTCCTCCTCTCTTTCCTTTTCTTCCTCTTCTACTTCTGCTTCTTTTTCTTTTTTTTTTTTTTGGTGGTCTTCTGGCTTGAACTCAAGGCCTGGATGCTATCCCTGAGCTCTTCTGCTCAAGGCTAGAGCTCTACCGCTTTGAGCCACAGCTCCACTTCCAGTTTTCCATTGGCTAATTGGACCTAAGAGTCTCAAGGACTTTCCTGCCCAGGCTGGCTTCGAATCATGATCCCCAGATCTCAGCCTCCTGAGTAGCTAGGATTTCAGGAGTGAGCCACCAGCACCCAGCCCCTCTTCTTCCTTCTCCTTCCTTTATTTTATTCCTTCCTTCCTCCTCCTCTTCCTCATCTCCCCCCCTCCTTCTTGTTCTTCGTTCTGATACTTGGGCCAGGCGCTGTCCTGAGCTCTTTTCACTCAAAGCTATCACTCTACCACTTGAGCTACAGCTCTACTTCCAGCTTTTTGTGGTTAATGGGAAATAAGAGTCTCTTTACTGCCAGCCTGGCTTTGAACTGTGATCCTCAGATCTCAGTGTCCTGAGTAGGTAGGATTATGGACATGAGCCACTGACACCTAGCGCTTTAAAAAAATGTTTTAAGTTATCCTTAAGTAGTTGTACAAAGGGCTTTTGGTTCAACATGTCAGTTTATGATCACTATGCTTTGTTTCTTATACCCCACCCCTCAGCCATCACACACCCAAGAACATTCCATCCCAACCCAAGAGAACAGTCTTAACACCAGCCTCTGATTTACCCATGTGTGCACGTGCATGCATGCACACACACACACACACAGTGGTGTGTACACAGTTCACACACATTGATAAAGATGCAGATGCTCACAAATACATGGATTTGCACGTGCACACACGAAAGTCTCACATTCTCTTTCTAGCTACTTCAGGACCACACTGGTGCTATGAGATTCAAGCCAAGGAGGTCAACTCAAACTGCCTAGGTGAGTAGAGCCAGTGTTGGGGAGGGTCCCTTCTGCAGTGGGGGCTTTCCGGATGAAATGGAGGTTCAAGGAGGATGGAGAAAATGAGGGGTGCCAGCCATCAGTTGCTCCCCAGGTATTTGGAGAACAGAGAACACAGAGTGTGCTTTCTTGTCATGAGAGACTAAGTTCCCTGGGCACGAATTCAGCAACAGCATTGAAGAGAGAAACACATTTTGCATTTTCTCCCAACACAATAGAGGGCTGGTTGTAGTCCAGCGGCACCCTGCCAGGTGGGCCTGGGAGATGGTCCTTGACCCTTTTTCCCCCCTCTTTTTTGTGGTGCTGGGACTGGAGCTCAGGGTCTTACACATACTTCACTTCTGGGCACTTTTTGCTTCAATTCTGACCTATTCCCCTGTGGCCAGCTTTCTTCCTGCCCTGCTGTGTTGAGGGCCTGCCCAACCCCTGCTGGATGTTGGGGTTGTGTTAAGGGAAGGGGATCCAGACTGACAGGAGGAGACTCCTCCCACGCCTCAGATAATGCTGTGTCACAGTGAGATTCCTCTCCTAAGCAGCCCTTCTAGAAGGGCTCTTTTCCTCAACTTCCAAAGCCCTCTCCGTGCATCAATTTTACACTTCCACAAACTGCCTGCAGTCACTTCCTGTTTCATAGTTGAAAAGGAGAGAGCTCCTGGGGTGGTCTCTGCCCCACAGCTCACAGCCACTGGCAAGCCCAGTCCCACCCTGAGCCACACCATACACACTCTGGCTTTGCCCCCACGTTTGGAGGAGGAGGATAGGGTGGGTAAAAGCAGTAAAAGAGGTACCCCGTACTCTCAGCCTCTTCCTTCCTGCTCAGGGCCAGACAAGTGGTCTGGAGACTGCCATAAGAGCCGCCAGTCTCCCATCAACATCGTGAGCTCCAAGGCCAAGGTAAACCACAGCCTGGGACACTTCTCCTTCTTTGGTTATGACAAGAAACAAAGGAGGACCGTCCAAAACAATGGGCACTCAGGTGGGTTCTCAGGTGGCGGGGGATGGGCAGGCACGGGCTCCTGGCTCCAGGTACAAGTGCAAGAGAGTTTGATGGGGACTGAAAACCTAGTGAGGATGAGGAGGGCAATCAGAATGGGCGTCCAGAGAGAAGGCTCCCTGACTGTGTTTTCAATGGCTTCTTCTGACCAGTCAGTTGGTGGAGGGGGGGAGGGGAGAGGAAATCCAGGAAGGATGGACACTATTGCATTGCATGGCAGGGTAGAGGTCAGAGCGAAGCTGGAAGGGACTGAGTAAGGCCCAGGGCTGAAGAACCTGGGGATGTCAGAGGGGGATCCCAAGCGGAGGAGGAACCAAGACAGATTCCAGTGTTGCCTTTGGAGGCAGCAGGTGTGGAGGACTGTGCAGGAGAAGGGGAGACCAGAACTGGAGCTCATATAAGGGTGGGAGATGGGGGAGGTCTGGGTAGAGCTGGGATGGGAGCTGGAGAGATTGAGGTGGGGACTCTGGCCATCCTGTGTCCCCCAGTGATGGTGTTGCTGGGGAAAGAGGCCAGACTGTCTGGAGGAGGCCTGGCTGCACAGTACCAGGCCACACAGTTTCACCTGCATTGGTCCCAGGAGCTGGACAGGGGCTCGGAGCACACCCTGGATGGCGAACGCTTTGCTATGGAGGTACGGGGTCTTTTCCTAGCTGGGGGCCTTGGGTGGGAAGAGTGGTCCAGCCCCATCACACGTTCTCTCTCCCCTCCCTCCCTCTCTCCCTCCCTTCCTCCCTCCCTCCCTCCACCAGATGCACATAGTGCATGAGAAAGAGACAGAGGCATCAAACCATGCACAGAGCTCTGAAGATGAGATGGCAGTGTTGGCCTTCCTGGTGCAGGTAGGACTGCCATCCCTCAGATCCTGGAGAGCACTGCATAGTGTGCAGAGGCCTGGGATGACGAATATACCCTCGAGTGAACTAGGAGCCCAGAGCCTCAATCCTAGAAGCCACCTGCCCCCCTCTAGGTCACAATGAGCAGGTGGTCTCCACCAGCTCCCCCGGGGACTCCTCTAAGCCCCTTCCCACCCATTTCAGGAGGGAGACAAGATGAACGAGGGCTTCGAGCCCCTGTTGGAGGCCCTACAAAGCATCCCCGAACCTGGTGAGTCTGGGAGCTAGTGGAGAGGGCTGCTGTCAGAGGGAGGTGTGTGAGGGACCATGTCTCCCACTCCAGATATGAACACCACCATGAGGGAGAGCAGCCTGATGGACCTGCTCCCTAACCGGGAGAAGCTAAAGGACTACTTCCGGTACCTGGGCTCGCTCACCACGCCCAGCTGTGACGAGACAGTCATCTGGACAGTGTTCAAGGAGCCCATTCAGCTGCACAGGGAGCAGGTACTCAGCACATAGGCCAAGCCACCTGGCTTCCTGGAAGCCATGTCTATTTGGACCCCCAGGGTCTCCTGAAGTGGGGAGCCCCCAGGGAATCTGAAGCTCACTGGTTCAAGGAACTCCTGGTGTGTTTGTGGGTTGAGGGCTGAGGGGCAGGCTGTGGAAGTGGGTCAGGTTAGGACAGGGAGCCGGTAACCTAGGGAAGGGGTGCTTTGAACCAGGATCCTCAGATCTCAGCCTTCTGAGTAGCTAGGATTACAGGCGTGAGCCACCAGCACCCTGCTGGACATGCTAAGGTTTGAGAAGCAAGGCAGCCTAGCAATGGAGAAGACAATTGTGCATTTCAGGTGCCCCCCCCATCTCTGAGTTGGGGAAGTTCATGGGCACTTAGCTCCCTAGGGTACGGTGCCCTTGTATCCTTGTATCCCTTATTCTTGGCCTTTTCACAACACTTTGAGGGATCTTGAATAGGAGCCCCCTTTCCTGATGCGTTTCAGAGAGGTGAGTCCTCCCTGCCGCCCCCCCCCCCCAGCAGGGAATGTGGCTGCACCTCCTCCCACTAGCTGAGCCCTGTCCCGTTCTGCAGATCCTGGCCTTCTCCCAGAAGCTATTCTACGACAAGGGGCAGAAACTGAATATGAGCGACAACGTCAGACCTGTGCAGCGCCTGGGAAACCGGGTGGTGTTCAGGTCGAGGGCCCCAGGACGGCTGCTGCCTTTGCCCCTGTTGGTCCCCACACTGACCTTCCTGATGGCCAGCCTCCTTCCGTAATGGCGCACAGCTGGCTACATGACCTGTCTGACCTCAGCTTGTTTAAAGGACTTGACTTCTATTCTTACTGCTTCCTAGGGTGAACTTTGGGAATGATTAAAATATGGATGTTTTTGGACAGATCATTGGCAAGTCTGTATCTCCTCACAACTTCTCCTACCTCCCCCTCCCCCTGTGCTAGGGCAGGGGCCCTAAAGCCTGGAGATTTCCTCCAAGTGAGCACCTGCCACCCTCTGCCCTTGTGAATTTCCTATCTATCCCATCCTCAGAGATAGGCTGATGCCACCAAGGATCATCATCATGGCAAAGGCCAGAGATCTGACCCACTCTCTTCATTATCTAGTAGGGGAAACTGAGGCTTAGGAAGGACAGGCTGGATGGAGGCCACAATTGAAGCTGGAGCTGTCTCTGTCCCTTGTGTGGGGTGCAGCACAGGCAGAGAGGACAATAGGAAGCTTATTTGTTTCTCACTCTCTGTCTCTGTGTCTGTGTCTGTCTCTTTTCCTGTTTCTGTCTCTCTTTCTGTGTGTGTCTCTCCCTCTCTGTCTCTCTCCCTCTCCTCTCTCTTAATGCCATTTCAGGCACTTAAACTCAGGGCCTAGGAGCTATTCCTGAGTTCAAAACTAGCACTCTCTCACTGGCTCCACTTCTGGCCTTTTCTATAGTTAATTGGAGATAAGTCTCATAGGGCTTTCTTGCCCTGACTGGCTTTGACTAGCCAGCCTCAGATCTCAGCCTCCTGAGTAGCTCAGCTTACCTGTGTGAGCCACCTTCTCGGCCCTTCTTTCAGTATCTGTTGAGCATTTGTGTTGTGGTCTGTTGGTGGGGAAATGCCTGCCCTCCTGTGGCTCCCAGTCCTGGGGAGGGGGAGAAGACAGTGAGCTGTGGAGAAGAATAAACCAGGGAAGGACCGTGTTAAGGGTGGCCAGGAGAAGTGGCATCTGGAAGACTGGAGGGAAGCCATCTGGACTAGCAGTGTTCCTGCAGGTAGGGAAGAGGCCTGTCAGGAAATGGCGAGGAAGAGGGGGCAGAGCTTCAGTTAGGTCTGTTGTGGGGGAGGGGTGGCACAGGCCATCCAGGCCTTGCAGCATCCAGAAAGATGCTGGAACCTATGGCGGGTGACATCATATTACCGTGCTGTGGAGGAGGGGCTGTGGAGGCGAGGGCTGGGCTGCGGGGTGGAAGAAGGGGGTGGGCAGGGGGAGAGGTTCCTCAGGCAGAATTTGCTGGAAGAGCAGGAGGGCTTTTATGTCTCTATGAATTTTTCCCTTCTGGGATCCAAGGAGGGAGAGGAGGAAGAGGAGGAGGAGGAGGAGGAGGAGGAAGAGTGAGACTAGGAGGAAGCAGATGGCATAGGAGAGTCCAGAAAAGCAGGAAGGAGGAAAGAAGGAACCCACAGGCAGTCCAAAGCCAAGTCAGGGCTCTGGCATGTTAAGGCATGAGGGGCTCTGGGTTCAGATCTTACCATTCAGGACAAGGTTGCTTTGAGAAGCAAAGGAAGGGGTGAATAGATGGAGCCCCAGGGGTGGGGCTGAGGACTTCCTGGGAATGGTGTGTCCCTACTGGAAGGTGAGGTGGGGGAGACACATGAATCCTAGAAGGCCTGGCTGCTGGGGGTGGAGGGTAGGGTAGAGAAAATAGCTCGTTGGAGGGTATGACCTCTAAGCCTCTCACCTCAAGCTCAGGACACCTACCCTGAGGGAGAAAAAAGAGCTTCCCCCTTCCTTTCCACCCTCCCTTTTTCATTTGTGACCAAAAATAAGTCTCCCTCCTCCCACCCCCCCACTTCTGTTTTACTAGTGACCACATGCCTGGGAGTTGGCATTGCAATCACCATGGCAACGGCAGACAGCCTATGCCAGCAGGAGGTTTGGATGCTGAGCCTGCTCTCCTCTGGCTCCCAGGAAGTCAGCTTTCCCGCAGGGGTGAGGGGGGCAGGGTGGAAGGGAGCATGGCCCCGGGGTGGGCCTCGAAGGTCAGAGCGGTCCCTCCTGCTCCCCCTCACCTCTCCCCTCCCTCATCCCTGCCCACCTGGATTCCAACACAACCAGGGCAGTCACTGCTCTTTCCAAGAGACTAGGGGAGGCGCTGGCTTCTCCCAGCCCATGTGGAGGCACACAGTCCGTCCTGCCTCGCTGCTTTATGCTGAGAAACTTGGCCAGCCAAAGTCAGAATGAGCACAACTTGTCCAGGGGCCAAGTCTCCCCAGCATTACTCCCCCCCCCCATTTTTTTCCTTTGGCCCCAGAAGCAGGGCTTGGCAAAGTCATGTCCAGCACAGTTGTCCTAGCAAAGTCACTGGACTCAGGAGTAGGCAGCTGGCTCCCTTGGTCTGGCTTCCCAGGTCTGGAGGCCCAGCTGACACATCTGATCTGGAGAAACTTCTTTAGAGTGTGTTCACCCCATCTATCCTTGCCCCCAGGCTCCAAGCCTGTTAGAAGATGCTCTCACTTCACACCCGGTTCGCAAGACAGCTATCAGCAGGGATGAAGGTGGTGAGCAATAGACCCCTTGCTTACAAAGGGGGTCCAATCTGCGCCCACTCTAGCCCTACTTCCTTTTTTTCCTTTTTCTCCCCCAATCCTGGAGCTTGAACTGAAACCCTAAGCACTGTCCCTGAGCTGTTTTTTTTGTTTGTTTGTTTTTGTTTTTGTCAGTCGTGGCGCCTGAACTCTGGGCCTGGGCACTGTCCTACAACCCTGTAGCTCAAGACTAGTGCTCTACCACTTGAACCACAGCGCCACGTCCGGCTTTTTCTGCTTATGTGGTGCTGAGGAATCAAACCCAGGGCCTCATGTATGCAAGGCAAGCGCTCTACCACTGAGCCACCTTCCCAGCCCGCCTTGAGCTAATGCTCTACTGTATGAGCCACAGCTCCACTTGCAGCTTATTTTGGTGATTCACTGGAGATAAGAGTCTCATGGACTTCCCTGCCTGGACTGGCTTCACAGTCCTTAGACCTCACCCTCCTGAGTAGCTAGTATGATTACAGGCCTGAGCCCATTGGTGCCCTGTTCTACTTCCATTTTTATTCATCCTTAGGCTGAGTGCACTGGACATTTACACATACACAAACACACACACACACACTCACAAGCACACACATTTTACTGCAGTTGTCAGGCTGGAGGAGGCTATTTTGGCTAAACCTCCACTTCTGTGACAGCCACTGGCCCTGTTCTAGCAGGTTCCAGTGCAGAATATGAAGCACCTTTGTCAAATGCCCACTCTGTGCTGGATGCGGGCCTTCCCTGTGGTACTGTGGAGATGTCATTCATCCATTGTAAGGATGAGGACGCTGGGTGAGGGGTCAGGGGCTGCATCTGGGCGAACCTCTGCTTCTGCACCATCTTCCTCATTCCTGTCATGGGGAAGACACAGCTGCAGCAGAGTCTGCAGCCCTTTGCCCACATTGCTTTGTACCCCCGTTGGGTCACCTCTCTGGCTCCGTTTAGGTTTGGCATTCGGGTGGGATCAAGGGGCTAAAAATATTCTCCATGTGTTTAGATAATTCTTGGAAAATAAACTTTCCTGTCTTAGCTCTTTGGTTTGCGCAGTTGCCGGCGCTAATCTGATGGGGGAAGGGTGGAGAGGAGAAGAAGAGGTGAGTGAAAAGGTCCTCGAGTCAATCCTGGGTAGTAAGTTACGTGTATGTCTGCATGCACATGCACGCACAGGGATGTGTCCCAGAACTCCAGAGGACACCTGTACACAGACTGTACCTGTGCTGAATTTGAGGTAATCCTCAGACAATCCTGAGCTTCTGTGTCTATTAGTGGGAAGAGGTAGGGAAGCCCAAAGCCCTGCTGGCATGGCTCCTGCCTCAGGGCCGTGGGATAACCACCTGCAAAAGAGACAGCTTGCCCTGTCCTTCTAATTGACCTCCGTGTCTGCCGAAGACTCCAGGAGGAAGGCCAGGCCTATCTCTGTAGGTGGGGCTCTGTGCCTGCACCTCCAACGGCCGGCCGGCAGTGTCTCAGCTGCTGTGTTTATTTATCTGAGTAGGGACAAAGGCCTGACCTCCTGTACGGATGAAGGACTTGTCCTGCGGCCCAGGGAGGGGCTTCCTCCCTGGAAGGACAGGGCAGGTCACAAGCCGCAGGACAGACAAGTCACAAGCGACTTCCTTCCGCTGAGATTGGACACATAGGAGGCTCTTCAGGTTGTTCCAAGTGTCAGGGGCTGCAGGCCGGAGAGGACAGGGAGGACACAGGGAAGGGGAGATTTATTTTCAACAAGATTTAATCTTTGTCGGGGTGTGGTGGCACATGCCAGCGGGCCCCAAGACTTAGGAGGTGGAGGCAAAAAGGATTGCCAGTCTGAAGCCAGCCTGGACAGTCAGTGAGACACTATCTCAAAGCAAACTAAAAGCAAGAGGATGAGGGGCATGATTCAAATGGTAGAGCATTCTGACACGAAGCCCTGAGTTCAAACCCCAGTACCAGGCAGGGACAGGGCCCAGGGGGGCATTGACTTAAAATCTCAACAAACACTACTGTTTCCTCTGTGCTGGAGAATCAGGATTGGGGAGAAAAAGCCCAGTGTGGACCCTTCCTCTAAGACCCCCTAACCATAAAGGCAGATTCACTGGACATAATAAATACCAGCTTTCTGAAATCGAAGCTGGGAGAGGGATGCAGACAAATGTGGGGTTGGACCACTGCTGACAAGTTACCTTTGGTGATTTGATTTACCTGAGCTGCAGTTTCTTCATCAATAAAATGGGAATGATAACAGCATTTACCTCATAGGATTAGGGTAAAGGGGCTGGGAAGGTGGCTCAGCGGTAGAGTGCTTGCCTTACATGCCTGAAGTCCTGAGTTTGATTCCTCAGCACCACATAAGTAGAAAAAGCCAGAAGTGGTGCTATGGCTCAAGTGTAGAGTGCTAGCCTTGAGCTGAAGAGCTGAGGGACAGCGCCCAGGCCTAGAGTTCAGGCCCCACAACCAACCAAAAAAAAAAAAAAAGATTAGTGTAAAAATAAAACAAGAGGGCTGGGAAGGTGGCTCAGTGGTAGAGCGCTTGCCTTGCATGCCTGAGGCCCTGGGTTTGATTCCTCAGCACCACATAAGCA